TTTTTTTTTAGATTTTCTTTTATTATCCACAAAAGTGTTGTTTTTTTTAATGGACGAAGGAAATCTCAATTCGTTCAAAAAATTGTTGTTTGATAATGCTCTTGGTAATATAGGTAATATTTATATGTACTTTATATCTTTTTGACTCGCATACTATTTTTTTTAGAGTCATCACCACATACAGATAAACAACGTCGATGGCGTGCTAAAAAAAAGAATCAACATCATCGTACTCAATCATCGCCACATCGTTTACTACTTGAACAAATTGTAAATAACTAATTTGATTCGAGCTAGCTCAAAATAAAAATTTTTACACTGTTTTTTTTTAGAATGAATCACATCAATATTCATCTGATATTAATGAAAATTTTGAAAATAATGTTACTGTTGATAATCGCATATTTGATGATAATATGGTTGTTCATAATTCACCTATGGATGATACAAATTCTGATGTTACATGTGCTGGTGGTACATTTAATGATGATAAACTTGTTCATGATTCACTTATGGATGATACACATGGTGATGTTTTACGTACTGGTGTTACATTTAATGATGATATACATGGTGATGTTATACGTGCTGGTGTTACATTTAATGATGATACACATGGTGATGTTACATGTACTGGTGGTACATTTAATGATGATACACTTGTTCATGATTCATTTATGGATGATACACATGCTGATGCTACATGTGCTGGTATTACATTTAATGATAATATACACGGTGATGTTGTACGTGCTGGTGTTATATTTAATGATGATATACATGGTGATGTTACACGTGCTGGTGTTACATTTAATGATGATACACTTGTTCATGATTATATACTTGATGATGACGATTATAATTATAGTTTCGATTTTAATCCGAATTCGGCTCAATCAGTTGGTATGATATAATAATTTATTGTTTTCCTTTTCGCCAAAAATTTTTTAAAAAGAGGTTGCAATTTTTTCTTTTTTTAGAAATAACTGCTGAACAAGAAGATGAACCGTTATATACTAATGCACCTGTGACATCTAAATCTTACCATAAACAAATATTAGAGTTTGGAAATTCAGTTAAATTAAGTGATTCAAATATGAATAAATTATTGCAATTAATTGGAAATGCATTACCA